TACATACATACATACATACATACATACATACATACATACATACATACATACATACATACATATATATATATATATATCTTCACATGACATTTGAACCACACTTTGCAGACTTACAGTACGTATTAAAAATCCTAATGCATTTCATGGTACCAGTTTCAGGATACCTTCCCCCCCCCCACCATATGATTACATACATACTTTGTACATTCAATAAATATACAACTCCCACTTGTTTGCCACTTTTATCAATTCTTTTCTAAACAAGCCTTTTATTCTTTTGAGAAGCCAAATTAGATCATGGTTATACTTGCTGTAGACCAGTGACATATAAAATGTCTCCCTAGTAAAGTATTGGGCTTGGACTAGGGAGATACGACTTCAGGTGTAGAAGAGGCCTTTATGCTCAAATTACCAATTCTTAGAACAACCTAGCGGAGAAGAGGTAACCTACATACCATCCTAAGATAAGAACCGCATATAAATAAAAGAAATGTAATGTGCCTACAATCATAAGCATTTGAAATATAGCACAAAGCTGTGCATCCTCAAAGATAATGAAATCTCACTTCTCCAAATTGTAACTTGTAGAACTGATTCTTCTACATAAAAAATTGACATCCTCACAAGTTAAACATTAACACGTCAGTCTCCAGGCTAGCAAAATTTAACCTATATTTTCAAATCCTCAAACCTGTCTTTCATGTTAACTATTGAAGTTTCATTTTCACTTCTGAAGGACCTCATCACGTTACATTAGACTTTCCTTTCCCTCCCTTCCTAAACCATTTCAGTACTGCTGATTTGACATTTATGTTTGACAAGAGAGTGAATAGATTGAGATGAACTCTCACACCAAACCATTTCACCTCCTATCTGTGGAAAGCTTCATAAACCCTGAACAAAAAGGAAGAGTAATAGAAATGAAACCTGAGCCACCATTGATTTGAACTTAATCATAATCAAATTTCCTAGCAAATCTTTCCTGATCTTTGATTTAATGAAATAAATAATAGGAACTCTTGATTTGTGGTGAAGAGAAAGATTAAAACTGAAATTCTGCACAGTTCATAGTACCTAAATTGATGTCCAAATAACTTTATTTGGAAATTACCTGCAAATATTCTCTCCTGTTGGTTAAAGATGTTTATAGGATAACCAGATGGGGCGTGTATGTAAAATTGTAGAGATACATTAGAAATTTATTTTTGCTTTTTGGACTTTTCAATACAACCAAGCATATGCAAATTGCCATTGTCCTTCAGTTAATGACCACCTTTTATTTCCATCCAACCAGGTTATCTATAAATATAAATACTGCAAGCACTATTAAAATACATTGAAAGCATGAATCATCCATCACAGATGAAAATGTGTTTTGCATTTGTGCATATAGGAAATCTGAATCTTAAGGGGGGAAATGGACTGAAGTAAATGAAATCTACTAAATTCTCATACATTAAAAATAGAAATAAGATATTTGTATGAAATCACACGATATATCAAAACAGAACATTTAATGAACACATAGAATAAGATTATAATATAAATAAAAGAAAAACTACTGAATGTAAAAAAAATTCAGACCCATCCCTCCCCAAAAAACAGAATTATCTTTTTGTACAATGTACAAATTATATGTACATTGTTGCCTCCTTAGGAAAATTATGAATTCAAGGATTATAGTAACTTGACTTCCATCATTCACATTCACACAATTGATATCAGAAATGATGTGAGTTGTAACAATATTATAGGTGATATTTCAAATCTTATACCTTGTCCCTTTGCTGATATTCTCCCATACCATTATAATTCCTTCCTATTTGGTCATTAAAATGTAGAAGGTATGTCTATTATTATTATTTTCATCTTTTTGTTGGTTTTTTCTCCTTGTGAAATTCTTCACAAAATGATAGATATACTTCCTAGAATTTCTCTTTAGGTTCTATTGTCTACGAATTTCCTAATATAAATGGTATATATAAAATGTTTCATTCTGAAACATTCTCAAAGATAAAGTTGTTAGGATTAAATGTGTATCGATATGTCCTTATTATGTGCATGATATAGGATGGCATTTACTGTTTATCAAATGTAAACAGTTACAGATACCTTCCATTGAGTTTATATTTTAGCTAAAAGAGAGAGCATGCCTTTCTTGCCCACTCCCTTTTAACTGATAAAACATGGTGATTTCCCCCTTAACTAAAACTGTCATGCCTGCTCATGTTTATGCAAAATAGAAAATTTGGAAGAAGAAGGAAGAGAAGAAAGGAACACAGTAACATCAGAAGAAAATATCAAAGCACCTGTCACAACATCTTAAGGCTTTTATCAAAGTAGTAAGAGAATACATTAAAGTAACAATATAGGTAGCTCACATATGACAGGACTACTAACTCAGCAGTATATTTGATTAATATTAGTATGTACAAGATTTACATGTATGCTTTGTTTATCAACCCAGAACCCATTTAAATATTACAATGGAAAATATGATCTTGTA